TTTGCTAAGCTTTACTTCCAAATACACCATTTACTAAACACGTCTATTTTAAATTTTTATAAATAAAGTTTATAGATATTTTTAATATTCATCGTATCTGTGGCCCTAAAGAGGGCCGTTGGGTCGACGTTAGACCTAGAAAGATAGCTCCGTTCGTCCGTTCTATCCTCCCCCCGCACCTCCCCCCCCCCCCCCGTCGACGTTTTTGGGAGGTGAGTGTCCGACACTACCACCTTCACTTTTGGCCGGCCAGTGGTAGCTGAAACCACCTTCACTTTTGGGGGACCCGGCTCCCCCTATCGCACCTCTGCTTCCAGGTTGTTGCCGCCAGTGCGCGGAATACAAGCGAAACAAATGCAAAAGAGTTCACTGGAAGCATATTTTAATGTATACAGCGGCACAATATCTAAAATAAACGTGCTTATCAAATGGTGTATTTGCAAGTAAAACTCAGCGGTGCACAATTTTTATAAGTAAATTTTGTTAGAATGTACAGCGAAAAACTAGGTCGATCCAGGAACCAACCGCCAAGAACCAGAATTTTGAATAATTAAATGATGAAAATTCATGCGATTCCATTGTCACAAATGATGTGTGAAGATGTCAGCAATTGCGACTGCATAGGTTTTGAAGAGTAAGTGTTGCTCTATTAGTAAAAAAATCAAGTCGATTTGAGAGATGTTCGCCGAAAACCAGAATTCTAAAATATTACGCCATTTTAGCTTATTCAGTGACTGCTGACAGTTAAACTCATATAAATCCTGAATGTGAAGGTGTGTCATGTTGCGACTTTATAGGTTTTGTAAAGTAAGAATTGCCTAATCAGAATATACCTTAACCGTACCGACCCGCTCAAACACCGGACTCTTGAAAAGGCAGTTAAAGAAGCCATTTAACAGCTCATAACTTCTTCAGATTTGCATGAATCATGTTGCGACTTCATGGGTTAGATTCTTCTCATCAAGAGCTTTTAGAAGATTTACAACATGTGGGGGTTCGGTGCCCTTTTCATCACCAATTCGCTTCTGACGGCCTCCAGCCAATACATTGAAGTGGGCGAGGGGGAGAGTTAGTGATGAAAAGACTCCCCCTCAAGCATAAGTCGTAGAAGGCACCGAACTCTCACATGTTACAATCTGAAAGCTCTTAGAGAGAAGAATCTAACCCATGAAGTCGCAACATGATTCATGCAAATTTGAAGAAGTTGTGAGCTGTTAAATTTTGAAAGGCGCTTCTTTACGTGCTTCTTCAAGAGTCCGGTGTTTAAACGGTCGGTACGGTTAAGACATCTCTGATAAGGCAGACCTATTCTATAAAACCTATAAAGTCGCAACATCACAAACTTTCACATTCAAGATTTATATGAGTTTAATTGTCAACTGTCACTAAACAGCTAAAAAGGCGTATTTTTTTAAAATTCTGGTTTACGGCGACCATCTCTCGAATGGACTTGATTCTTTCACTCTGTATTAGAAGTGCAATTACTCTTGAAAACCTATGCAGTCGCAATTGCTGACATTCTCAAACACCAGATTTATAACAGTAGAAATTTTTTCATGATTCTTCCATTTTATTATTCAAAATTCTGGTTCTCGGCGGTTACTCCCTGGATCAACCTACTTCTTTGGCTGTACATTACACAAAATTTACTTAAAATATGTACAGTTCCGCTGAGTTTTCCAAATGCACTATTTGATAAACACGTTTATTTCAGATACTTATGCCGTTGTATACATAGAAATATGCTTTCAATGATCTCTTTTGCATTTGTTTTACTGACTTTCCTTTTTTCATTCAGCAAAAAATTTTTCAAAACCCAAAAGTGAAGGTGGTCACCCTCAAAAGTGAAGGTAGGGGGAGAATCGGCTTCCAGTGTCGCATGTCTGGACAAGGTGCGGTCCCTTTCGGCTCTTAAAGGCGCAACATTTCTTCAAGGTTCCCCTGCAAGGTGCTAAGCACTTCTGCAGACAAAGGCGGCTAGCATTTGGGAACTAAGTGGTGTACGTCACTTAAGTCACCATACCAAATTTATATGATGAAGGTCAGCTTCCAGAACACGTCAAATGCAGCGTTTGTGTTTGGGAACACGAGGTAAACCGCGTCAGCGAAGATGTTTGCAAATACCAACATGCAAAATATTAGCATTGCAGCCTGTGAATTCTAGATAATCAATGCGTGGCCTATCTTGAGTGCTCACTTAAGCCCGTATGCACGCACATCTCCGTGGAGAGGCGAGAGGCTTGAAAGGGGACGCGTCTTACCTCTCTATTCTAAATATCTTTATTCTTCTTTCTCTATCTAGCTTATGAAGATTTTCATACCCTGGTAGTCAAGTAGATATCCTGCTAAATGTAGTGTCCCTGAAGAGCGACAACGCTTGTGCGTCAAGAATTGCCATTGGAGTTTCAGCAGAAGTTTTACAGTGTTTCCTCTAGTATTCTCTTCATCCCGTCCGATGTTCATGTTTCTGAAGTTTGGTGTGTTTCTTCAAATATTTTAAGACGATCATAATTGAAACTGAAAACGCGAAAAAAGCGAAAAAAAGCGAAAACCAGGCATGAAGGTTATCGATTTATCGATTTTTAGCGTTTTTACTTAACAGTTTCAATTATGACCGACCTAAAATGTTTGAAGAAACAACGGGAACTACACCAAACTTCGGGAATATGAATATCGGGACCGGATGGGTGTCACTACGCTTTTCCTGCGAAAATCAGGCATGGAGGCTATCGATTTATCGATTTTTAGCGTTTTTGCTTACCAGTTTCAATTATGGCCGACCTGAAATGGGTAACGCTCAATGGTGATTTTCGCTGAAAAAGCTTGAAAACATTCACCCAGCCTCGAAGTTTTATTTGAAATTTTTAGGTGGCAATTTATCAAATTTCAAAAAAAGGACTGATGTGGGGGGGGGGGGTGGCAGAACGAGCTCGCTTTAAATAAAGCGTAGGACAAGAAACATCGGGTGAGATTTCGCGTTGCCATGTTTCCCACATCAAAGGACGAGTGGATGCTAGATAGATTTTATAGATATTTGAGAATTAGCGATGCTAGAACAACTGAAAAGACGGAAGCTACCCTCCAATTCGCTTCTCTCCTTTATCAGCGACGAGTTACCTAAAAAGCAAAGAATAAGCAAAGGAAATAGTGGAAAACATCGTTTGCATTAAGCAGAAAATCTACCAGACCGTATTGCGCATAATTGATGCCAGGTTACTGCCATGTAACATTAGATCTTCACTATTCTGTGTGATTCCTTGGGGATCACTAGGAGATCACCTTTCATTTTCAAAGTCATCTATCTTTTTGAAAACTCAATGAAAACGTTCTAAATACTAAGGATATACTACAGCACTGCTGAGCATGTTTTCGACAGAAGATATGGAATTTGGAGATTGTAAATTTCTCGATAATCTAGCTCGCGAGCAGTGATTCATCGAGAATTTCGATATCCTGAGATTCCACTTATTTCTACTAAGAACATGTTTAGCGTACATCATATCCTCTGCACAATGTTACAACATTTTCATTGCGATTACAGCAAGATAAACGATCTTGAAATGAGAGGTGATCCCGTGGGAATCCCCAAGGGATCACGCAAATCAATGAAAATCTGATCTTGTATGCAGTACCCTAGCAACCATTATGCGCAGGTAACAAGTTATGAGAACTCTCATGACTCAGATAGAAAAAGAAGAATAAAGACTGGAGAAGCGAGATATGTCGTATTCCTTCATGCATGGGGCCTAAGTTTGTGAATTCTGCATTAATGCACGAAGGGTTTGTCATTAGAAGAGCTGCACTTCAAATACATAAGAAAAAAATCATTCTAAAACAAAGCTTTTACTAAAATGGACAAAACATATTTCGTTTCTCTCCTAAATGGAGATGAGAACCCGTAATGGAGTTTTCCCATTTGAGGTCAAACGCATTGCATTAAAAACTATATCATGCTCTTAGTGATTTGACATTTTCATCATTTTGTCGCCTATATAATAGTTGTCGCAGCTCAGCAAGCCGGCATTCTGCTTTTCACTTCATTCTAACCTTTCTTCAGTTTTTGACTATCTGATTTCAGATAATCAATTGCTTCGAGGAACAATGCTAGCTTGGAAATTATTTGCTTTGGTAAATTTATCTCAGATGTCAGCGACTGTATTGATTGGCATTTTTAGGTCGTGCTCGCTGCTGCTGTGAATGCCTTCCCTCGTTATTATGAGCCGCCAATTCGCAGATATCGCCAATCGCATTTTATCCGCTAAGAGAGAAATGTTGGTCATGACTTCTCCAACTGACAATCCAGCCAACACTTATTTTGATCGCCACAATGAGCTTTATCGTTGACTAGCTGGCTTACCCGGCTCCGCCGTATGTTCCAAATAAAAAATTCCATTTCTTAACCGATTCGGACCAAACTTGGCACACATACACTTCGGGCCCCGGCGGGTGTCACAGCCCACTCTTCGTTATCGATCGATGTCGATTTTATCGACTTTTTGCAAAATTTGAGCTAGGGGGCTGCAAAAAATCGATAAAATAATTTTTTTCGGATGTGCCCGAAAAAAAGGAGATAGGAGGGGGGTCCCGCCTCCAGGAAAATTCTAGTCTCGGTGCTTCAGAAATTGCTTTGCGCTCATTGTTCCACTCACTCGTTGGTTTCATTACGAAAACAATAATGCAGAGATTGATTTCATGGGGAAGGGGGGGGGATAAGAACATTCAGATATGAAAATGTGGGCTGTTGCAACTATTTTCAAAAACCCTATTCCTGCATAACACAGTATCACCATTAAACTTTTTTTTCTGGAAATTAAGAGCGAACTACATTTTCGTATCTGAATTTTCGCAGGGGAAGCATGTATTTTTGCCCCATAAAGCCCCGGGCATACCACACGCGATTTTAGTTGCGACACGACTTGACAATACTCTAGTTGTTTATAACTCGTCACAGACTCAATTTGAGCACATGGAAAATAGCACATTTTATTGACTTACAGGAATTGAGTACAGCAACCAGGTCTGCGAGCGTTAGGGAGAGGTCTGGCAAACGACCAAATGGCACATGGCGACTGAAATTGCCAGAATTATGCCCAGGGCCTAACCACGCCGCCTTGTTCCTAGTTGGAATTAAAAACAGCAATAGAATTTTTGTTTCGAAATTTAATGCGTTACAGCAAGACCAAGCATTTCGTGAGAAATTTGACATTTCTCTCATTATCAATCGAAATGGTTTCTCTCGTATATAGCCGTTGGCAAACGGCTAGCTGTCATCCTTCTTTTGACTTCTGTTTTGTTCGGTATTGGACTTCTGCTCTATCAGATTACCAAGAACTGCTTTGAGGAACGATGCTACTTTGGAAATTTTTGGTTCTGGTAAGTTTATGTAACTAAAAGTCACTGGCTACGGATTGATGCGAAAGTTCAGATTGTACTGCCTGCCGCGGCAAATGGGTGCGTCAATGCCTCCAATCCGAAGTTCTTTAGGAAAAAGCCTGCTAAACTAGATGAGAAGCCTACAGATACTTCGAAGACTAGAATGTGAATATTCATAGCACGTTGCCACAGCTGAAATTCTGTCGACAGCCTTCTTATTGTTAGATCACCGCAAATGAGTTCTATCATTGTCAATAAATCTTTCACTGTTAGTGTTTTTTGCATTACCAACTGGCTTGATAACCAACCAATATGAAGTACTGAATGTCGCGCCATTGTGAAATTCGCGCAGTGTCGCAGTACTTGCGAATTGTGCGACTTCCGCGGAAACCGGGAATATCACGGCTTTCGTAGGTTGCATTAACTACCCTCAGATTGTACGGATTCTGAATGCGACAGAAGTATTATCAGCTTGGTAAGATGATGTTTTCTGATATATCACATCATAGCAACTCATTGGGGTACGTTAGGTATATGTCGCGGATTGGGCCCCCAGCTCCCAACGTCAGTGGTGTTACGGCTCTCCTGCATCGGCGAGGGGAGCCAGGGGTCCGCTCCACGAAAGAGTGAAACGTATCATGTGGTGGCTACCTGTGTAAATGCTACTTGTGCCTGCCACATGGGAACCCTATACACACGTAGAGGCCCTTACCACCAGCCTGCTTAGCAGTTACTCGGCACCTGCGATCCAAACTATCCTCCCAACTATCGACAGTTGGGGCGTGCGCTTATAATCAGGGCACGTAACTAGTATTGTGCCAGCCTTGATGGATGGAGTGTACTAGGCGTGATTATAAATACACAACAATAATGATGGCATGAGGTATCCCGGAGCCACAGCGGAGTTGTGGCTCACCGCATCAAACAAATCACACGAGTAAATGCCCACCATTTATCCACAACTAATCCCTAAACTCAAACACAATGGGGTGGAGCACAACCAGCCAAGATCTTAACATCCCTAGGAGCCAGCAGTATCAAAAACCCCCCGAGGCGGTGTCGCCGGCATGTGAAAGGCGCGAGCGTGCTCGGGGTTACCTCGTAGCGCGGGGTGCCAGTCCTCCGTGGCGTAGTTGGAATTGACGCGTAAGTTGGGGTGGCGCTGGATCGATCGATGACGAGAAACGTTGGAACCCGACTGCTCACTGTGACGGCAGCTGCGAAGACTGAGTACGTGACTTATGCGAAAGCTGCGCAGGTAAGAGAGGTGAGAGGCGGGACAGCGCGGGGACGGCGTTTCAGGACCCCTTCGCACCGCGGCGGCGGCCTCCTTTGAAGGAAGTCGCGAATCCGCGACAGTATACAGTAAGAAGAGGTTTTTCCCTCGAACTTGTTGTTTTTTGCAGGTATTGAGATGAAATCCGCAATGAGTCACCAGAAGTTTATAGCAAATAAGGATTTCAGCATCGCCCCAGATATTACGCCCAGCCCACTACTCCACCTACTTGTTGATTTTACCGTAAAGAAAGCTAGTGCACCGTCCAATTAAAGGAGAGTAGAAAAATCTGGATATGAAAATATGATTCCCATTTTATTTCCGAAACAAGGCTAAATAGTGATACCGCTTCATTTGAGCAGGAAGATCCTAAGGTATACTTTATGCAGCCCACATTTTAGTTTGATAAACGATTATATTTGTATAGACCTGAAAAGAAATGGTTTATTGAAATTTGATCATCTAAACACTTTTCCTGGAGGAAATTGATTATACGAGGATCATTTTTTATCAAGAAATTCAGGCGGTCAAATTCTGGTTCTGGCCGCATTAATCCAGTTTTGAACTCTGAATGAAAGTGTAGAAATTGACAGAACTCCAAACTATAACCGTTGAAGGACCTATAAGGGGGGAGGGAGGGAAATGTAGAGGGTGTTTCTAAGAGTAGCCGATATGGGATATGAAATTGGGCAAGCGACCTATTTTTTACTTGCGAATAAGCAAAATTTCCTTTGAATTTTTTTTCAAGATTTGAATCAGCTTTGCTGAAAAGTTGAGTGTTGCGTTTTCCCTCTTCCCCCCCCCCCCCCTAATTATATTTCTCGGATTATTACTGCATAGCATCTCTTCGAATTTCAACTTAAGGAAAAAAGTGGAAACGATTATCGTGTTTTTGGTTCAAATCATTTCATACCAAATCAAGGCTGGAATACCTTAAAAAATGTTTGAGTAGTCAGATGCTGTAAAGGAGAATTTTTTGAGTGTTTTTATTGGGGGGGGGGGGGAGAGATGAAGTAAAGCCTAAGTGAATTCAGCAGACATCTCAGTCAAATTTCGTGATTGATGAAACCATTTGCACTAGTTATTGCTCTCACTGAAATTGCCGAAATTATTTTATTGCGCTTCAAAAAAAAGACGTAATGGCATTGCTCGATTTAAAATTTAATGCATTGCAGCAAGACGATAGCATCTTATTAGAGATTCCAGATTCCACATCACCATCATTATCTTCCAAAACAATTTCTCGCGTTTATAGCATAGTCACAGTCCACAATCAGCATGTTGGCATTCTTCTTTTGACTTCTTCCTCATTCCAACGTTTAGTTTTGAGTGTTTGCTTTCAGGTTATCAACAAGTGCTTTGAGAACCATGATATCTTGGAAAGTTTTTGTTCTGGTAAATTTATAGTCCTGAAATGTCATGACTAAGCGATTATTGGGTATCTTCAGGTTGTGCTGGTTGCTACAACGAATGCCATCCCCTAGAAAATGGTGGGGAAATTATGAAGCCCTTGCCTCCGGATTGTTATATCGTTCATGATCACACGATACCACCGGGTTACAAACTCGGGAAAGATCAAACCGACTATCTTTTGTAAAAACTCGCATTGGGCCCTTTTAATGATAGTAAATTTATTGTTGGCCTTTGACTTTTCATGAAATAAGTAAGTATTGGCGCATAGATGGCTCCACATATACGCACACTTGGATGCTAAAATTCACGATACGCGTACGGATACAGTATCTGTACAGTACCTTATAACATTCCAACTACCTCATAATATGTCAAAGGAGACATCTGCGACACGACAATCATTTTCAAAAAAACTAAACTCGGCAAGTAAGCAGTCAAAAAATTCAAATGAATAAGACTGTAAGCCCAGATCTCTGCAACCAACAATTTTTGGTACTATAGAGTTGCAACATTTCCATGAATTGTCGCAAGTGTCGCGGATTGGGCCCCCAGCTCCCCACGTCAGTGGATACGGCTCACCTGCATCGGCGTATAGGAGCCGGGGACCCTCTCCGTGAAAGGGTTCACGTCACTTGGGGCGGTAGCTAGCCTGCACTAAATGCTATTGTGCCTGCCACACGGCATAACGCCTGACTCTTAGGGGCCCTGAGCTACCAGCTCACCTAGCACTAAATGTAGCCTGGGGCGTTGGCTCCGTTCTCACTACTGACACTTGGGGGTGGCCATCACCACTTGGCACTAGCGCGCATCGTGCCAGCCTTCTAACTGATGTAACCTCCTAGGCTATATATGATGATAGCAATACACAACACGATATTACTCGGGGCTGCAGCCGAGCTGCAGCCCACCGCATCAATCAATAACCACAGGCTATCAACTACCCACCATTTATCCTTAACACAGTCCCTACACTCAAACACAAGGGATGAAAACAACCAGCCAGCTGTTAAAAACCTAGGGGCCAGCAATATCGGAAACCCCCCGTGGCGGTGTCGCCGGCGTATGCCAGGCGCGAGCGCGCACGGGGTTCCTCGACTGCGGGGTTGCCTGTCCTCCATGGCGTAGATGTAGATGACGCGTGAGTTGGGGAAGGCGCTGTATCGATCGATGGCTTGAGACGAAGTTGGAACCCGACCGCTCACGATGGCGACAGCAGTGAAGACTGACTACGTGACTTATTTGAACGCTGCGCAGGTGAGAGAGGTGAGAGGCGGGACAGCGTGAGGACGGCGTTTTGGGACCCTTCGCAACGCGACGGCGGCCTCCTATAAAGGAAGTCGCGAATCCGCGACACTCCGGGCAACGAAAAAGAAAGGGTCCGAGGTAGCTCCCGATCTGCCATGTTACCTACGACACTACGAGTCAAACATGCACACAAACCTACGAGTCAAAGTCCCTAGGTGGAACGCGGGACCTACTGCCTGTCGTGGTAACAACCGGTTGTCTTCGGAGGTAAGCGTGAAGAGACGTCGGGGGCGCTACACTGGATAATGGCGGGCTTCGGCAGTTGTGGAGACGATTGTTGCGTTGAACGGAAGTTGAGGCGACCATTGACTCGACAGTTGCGGCATCGACAGCTTGAACGGCGACCATGGAACTCGGCTTGAACGTGGTATTCGGCTTGACGTTGACGTTGACAGCGGCTCGACATTGGTGACGTTGAAGTGGCGACGAAGTGGCAAAAGATGTTAATTTTGCCTAATGGCGCGGTTTTTCACGCCTGGGGATCAATTCAAAGCGAGGGGGAGATTTTACCTCGCATCACAAGACCCCTGGGGCAAGTCAGATGTGAAAGAGGGGGCATCCCAAAAACTCAAAAAAAAAATAACACGGTCTCCCACCGTGGCCCCCAAAAACTCGACAGTTGGGAAGTAGACACTTGGGACGCACGCAAACTGTGGGCTAACCTAAAATAGGGTCAGCAACAAAAAAAGTGTGCGAGCTTAAGGCCCGCCACAAACCACAAAACGAAGAAGAGGGAAAAAGAAATAAAAAGGGTATGTATAAAACAGCTAAACTAAATCAAACATACCCAAAAAGTCGGTAGTTGGGGTTGACGGCAAGTGGGAAACACGCAAATTGGGAAACTCTCCATCTTCCACCCAAAAACTCCATAGTTGGGGCTATCGCAACACGTGAACTCGAAGATTGGGGGATCCTTATCCTCAGCCTAAACAATCAGCATTAACAAGGAAATGAAAGTTGGGGGGTGAGCGCGAAGCTTCACCAAAAACTCGTAACTTGGGGCTAACGACTATGGGGCGATGCATCTCTACCTCTCTTCTCTTCCTCTTCCATCGGCTCGTCCACCTGACGCTCACCTAAAATGGGGCGTAGGGGCCCCATCCTGGGGAGCGGGCGACATGTGGGGCGGCGGTGTAACAGCCGATGTGGAGCTTACCTCTGGTCCCCAAAGAGAAGCGTGAGAGTGGGGGTACAATGTACTGTGACATCTATACTCATATGAAATGTAACATGTGTTAAGAAAGATGAGAGAAGGAAAATGGGTAAAAGAGAATGGTAAGGAAAAATGTGGGATGTGAGAGTTGCGAAAAACAAGCCACTGCCTTTTTGGCACAATGTGAGAAAGAAAACTAAAGAAAACAAACAACAAATGAGAAATGTGGCTTGTTGGGAGGTGAGAATGAAAGGGAAGGACACAAATCAGCACAACATACAAGAAATCACAAAGAAAGATGTTAGAACCACAACCAACATGTGTCGGCATGATACAATCTCGTATATGATGACTGTAGTTTTCCCTGCGGGACCACTCATCGGCGTAGTCGTGTGGGGCGCGCTTCGCGATTGGGGCTCGCATACTTGGGAATGTGATGATGAGGCACGCTGCGCACACGCGTCGCGTGTGGATTGGAGCGCGTTTGTTCTCAGTGGGCCGAAATTTGCGGTTTTAAGCGCTTAGCTTTGCGGGGAGGTTGTATCCTCGTGGGAGAATGGGAAGAATGTCTAGAAGACGTTCTTCTGGGTCTGGATATTGGGGTGTAGTCGTCCTGGGCGCGAATCTCCAAGGGGTAAAGACGTGATAACAGTCTTCTGAGGAACTTACCGTTGGGTGTCCGTACTTCTGCGACTCGTACGTTGTTGGGTTCGCTCCCATGAAGTCGAACCACAATTCCTAGTTTCCACTGTCCTCGTGACAAATTGTCCTCGGCAATTAGCACGAGGTCGTTAACTTGGGGATGTGTGGCTGTGTGCCTGGGCTGTCTCAAACGACGTTGATGGCGTTGAACAAGTGCGGAAAGGTAGTCGGTGCGCCAAATCTCCCAAAAGGAGTCCAAAACGGATTGCGCTTCCCTATACCAATCCGACAACTTGTGTTCCTCGACAACGACGTCGTATTTCTGGGGTATTGGGGGAAGTTGAAGCTGAACTTCTGGGGAAATGAAGTCCACTGGGCGTAGTACTCGAAACGGAGCTCCCTCTCGATATGGGGTTATAGGTCGAGAGTTGAGAATCGCTTCGATCTCCACGACCACTGTCCTCAACTGTTCCCATGTGAGCAAGGTTCTTCCTATCGTCTTCTTGAAAGCTGACTTGAAGAGAGCAACGAGTCTCTCATAGAAGCCTCCTTTCCATGGCGATATGGGGGTGATAAACTTCCACGTGATCCTATGTTTCGTAGCGAAACTGTGGATGTGGCTCCATGACTGGGGCGCAAAGAACAAAGTTCTAATTGCGTCTTCTGCGGCATGGAATGTGGATGCGTTATCACTGTAGATGACGTCCGGTGTTCCACGTCGTCCCAAAAATCGTCTGAAGGCTAATAGGAAGTCCTGTGTGGAGTTAGAGCTGACAAGTTCCAAGTGTACAGCTCTTGTGGCCATGCACGTAATAAGGCATACCCATGACTTCGCTTTCATGCCGTTCGCATCCCTGTAATGGATGGGACCCAGATAGTCCAGTCCCACGTTTTGGAACGGTCTTGATCTCGCGACTCGTTCCTCGGGCAAGCTGGGCATGTCCGGATAACGATAGGCTGGGCCATTGGCTCTCTTACAAACGGTACATGTGCGAAGAATGCGGTCTACGGTACGACGTGTGGAAGGCACAAAGAAGCGTTGTGACAGCTGGGCGATAGTCGCGTACGTTCCTTGATGGTACGATGCGAAGTGAATGTGAAGTGTGATGAGGAATGTAAGTCTGTGGGAGGGCACCAATAAAATAGATGCTGTGGGGTGGACTTTCTCCATGCGGGCTGGGCATCTGATGAGCCCGTTTTCGTCTCTATGTGCGTTAAATCGCTCGAGGCGAAAACGTTCTAACAGATGTGCAGACTCTCGATAATGTTCGTGGATAAGCAAAATCTCTGTTAAGGCAATGTCCTGGGCCGTGATGTTACCGGCAGAGGAAATATGAGAAAGAATGGGGATTGCCTTATAGAGATGATGTCTATGCGCGGACACTCTGGGGCTAAGAAAGTTGAGACGTAGAAATCTGAGGACGTAAACAGTAATACGAAGAAGTTTCGTATAACTGTTCGTAACGTAAAATGGGATAACTGACACATGTGAGTCTTCTCTAACCAAACTTACCTGTACAAACTCCTTATCCTGCTCCGGTGTTGTCGTGGGCAGGGTCGTGAAGTCCATATCTTTATCGGGCCAGTACTCAGGTAACCGAAGGATGAACGATGGTCCTGTCCACCAAACATGATTCACTGCTTCCTTCGTCGTCAATCCTCGCGTCGCATGGTCCGCGGGATTGTCTTCCGAAGCAACGTAGTGAAACTTGACATCGGTACCCGAATCCTGAAGTTCCTTAACGGTCTTGCGAATGAAACTTACCCTGTTATGGACGAATTGCTTCAATAGCCTGGTCGAATGAATCCAATGAAGCACGATTTGGGAGTCTGAAAAGATGTGAATTGTGGAGAGTGGAAGATCCAACTCTTTGTGGAGGTATTGGGCTAGAGTAAGACAATTCCTCGCTGCCATCAATTCCATTCTTGGAATGGTCATGGGCTTTGCGGGCTCGTTAAGGTGCGATCTTG